ATTACTGAATGTGGCAATTTGTTCCATAAGCTTTTTTGATTTGCAAGTAACTTAGTGGATTTGCTGGTGAAACACTTTGGCAAGTACCTTAGATAATTTCAAGACTGAGTATACACATCTAAATGTGATTAAAGTGTGACATTAGCAGGTACCGACCACAGGAAAGTGAGGTAGGTTTTCAAGTTTCAACAGCTGGGGAGGCTGAGAAAGACTATAGATGACTCTCAGGGGACCTGGAAAAGGCACTAAGAATACAAAATTAAGCTAATTACAGAAAAAAATACCACATGGCTGGCATTGGAATGATTCATCAAGCCCCTGGCATGTTCTGCTTACCCTCTGCCTAATGATAAAGTAGTGGTTATTTCTGACTGGACACCTTTGGTTTATATCTGTCTCACCCAAGCAATACAGCTTTAGCCTTGCTCTGCTGGTGCTAAATTTCTTTTTAAAAATAATAATGTTAATCTGGTAAAATATGCATGATGGGCTTTTAGGAGGAGACTGAGAGAGTTTCACTTTGTAATTTTCCAGACACAGTGCCTTACTTGTCTTGTGAACTCCTTTCCTATAGATGTCTTCACCTTTACTGTTTTGGATAAAAATTTATTGTTTAGTCACAAGAGTACTTTGGTTACTGGCTCTGGAGTCAGCTGCAGTCTCCAAGGACACAAAGGGGTCAGTCTGCAACCCAGAGAGTGAGGGAGATGGAGCCAGGAGTTCTGAGCAGCGAGCTTTAGCAGATGATTGGGAAGGGGCTTCATGATGATTTTCACAACATAGTGATGATATAAGGCCTGTGCTGTAAGTCAGGGTGCATAGAGAGGTGTGTCCCTCCCTTCGTAGAAGTATGCTGTAGAATTGAGGGAATCCGTAGCCAGAGCTGGGCCAGCTTCCTTCTGGCCAGTGTCTGAACTCTTTTGTTTTTGGCCTCACAAAATAGTTTCCGCTGTGGGGAAACTGAGACAAGACATGCACCCTCCAGGGAGAATCGGGTCTAAAAACTGCTCTAAAAGGACCCTCAGCATCAATGCCCTTTTCACTCCGACAGAATAGGCCAAATATCGGTTGTGTTCTCTGAACAGAACAACAATGGATAAGGGCAAAGTAATTGTGAGAATTTAATGTATGGGGATATTACGGTGTAGTTATGGTCAAGTGTGGTATGAGTATGGCATGGAGGCAGAGATTCCTGTTTGTTTATGATCAGATTTATCACCCTGATAGAGATAGAATATTCTCCCTTAAGAGGTGTGGGATAAGAGTGGAGAGACCAACCTTCCAGGTTTGCCCAAGACCAGCCCACTTCTAGCACTGAAAGTCCTGTGTCCCAGGAACCTTTTGGTCTCTGACAAACAAGAACAGTTGGTCATACTATCTTGAGAAGTTAAAGAGGATTCATTTTCTAGATGAGTTTAGCCTGCTAGTTTAGCTCAATGGTATTTGATTAGAAAGGCTTCCACTAAGATGAGACTTTTAGTACCGCCCCAGAACCATTTCTGGAGCTGCATCCAGGAAGAGATCGCAGGAGTTAGAGAGGATGCTGGACCCCAGACAGCTGCTTCCTTCACAGTAACTCCTTTTGTATTTGTATTATGAACCAGGCTTTGAGATAAAGTTTTATATATCAGAAGCTTCCTCAGGGTTGGAATGTTTAGGCTGGGGCGATGGCTTTAGAAAACGGTAGAGACAAGGGATTTATGGATTGTCCGTAAGTGAGACTGGCCCATGAAAAACGGTTAGAAGGGGTTAAGAGAATCCGGTCAAGTCAACCAAGGACTTGGCAACATACACACACATGTGGACTGGAGAAAGACTGAGGAAGCACATCAGTGAGGAAGCAACCTTTGCTTTTGACTTAAAGTTTCTTTTTATCTCCCCTCCCTCCAACCAAAGTTCTTCTCTGTGCAGATCTAGAGCCAGGAAACTATAAACTTTGACACCATCTGACTAGGATGATGGACATGGAAATGTGCACTTTGGGAACCCTGTCCACCTCCCTGTCTGCCTCCCTGTCATACCATTTATAAACTGTTGAGTTCCAGGAAGGAGGGGCCAGAATTGCATTTGCCTTCAACCCACTTCTGTTTTCACCACTACCCAAGAGGAAATAATTTGATTTGGGGCTACAGGGGGTAAGGCGGGGAAATGACATTGGAAGCCAGAGAAAATCAGCAAGAAAATTACTAAAAGGAAGAAAAAAATCTAACTGACTGCATATTACCTACAACAAAAGTTAATGAAATTCTGCTCCTTCTTACACAGCTGTATTCAGTTTGTTTTACATTGTTTGGTATGTAAAAGGATTTGGCTTTGTGTTATAGAACTAATTGCTTACTAGATATTACACGGATATCAAAATACTTTATAAATATTAATTAATCTTCACCTAATTCCCTGGCAGCACAAATAACCAGTGGCATATTTATTGAATATGTAAGCAATAATCTGATTCTTAAAGACTTGTTTTCTCTGCAGAACCTTTCTCATCGTTTTCATGTGTCAAAATGCTTCACCTCCTTTGAGAGCCATATCACATGTTATTTCCATAATAATCGTTAGGAAAATAGTAGTAAAGATGATTTTAAGAATAACCAGCATTATCATTTACTGAATATCCACCTTGCCAGGCCCTGGAGTAAGCATTTCACAGACATTTCATTTAATCCCCACAATATTCCTATGAGGAAAATATATCACCTTTTTTTCCCCTTAGAAGACAGAATAAAATTTCCTAGAGCTGGATCATGGCAAGAGTAGGATCCATATTACACTTTTTATATAAAGCTAATAAGAGCCGCTATGCTGCACCGTTTCTGACTTTCATATTTGGAGAATATACTTGGTCGTATGCTTATTGACTCCTCCATTCATTTATTCATTTGAAAGAATCTATTTGAATGCCAGCTATGTGAGAGACACTGTGCTAGGCCCTATTATGGTATGCCTCATGCTGAATCTCCAGTAGTAATAATGGAAGTCAGCATTTTTTCTCTCCTTCCATCCTTTGTGGTTCCCAAGAGCAGTGAGCGGTGTTGTTTGCATCAGACATGGTACCTGGCACAATGAACCTTCTTGAACAGATGGGGAGCGACACAGTGGAAAGGAAGAAGAGAATCTACAGTTTTGTTTGTTTTTAAATGGGTGAGGGATGGGAGAACTGAGAGGATGAGAGAATTCACTCTCTTCTTTCCTAAGGCTCATCATACATGCATATATGTGTGTGTGTGTGTGTGTGTGTGTATAAACCATATATAGTTACATATTTGTGTGTACTTACCTGTCAGTGTCTTAGTATCTCAGCATTCCCTGAGGGCAGGGGCTATTTATATCAGTTTCTGTTAGTATCTATCTACTGGTTAGTATTGTATTGGGTACATAAACATTTGCTAAATGGATCTGAGTCATTCCACACATGGAGGAAGGCCAGTTAAAATGGTATTACATGTGTATTATAACGGCTATGGAAAGAATTCCAACCCCAGACATAGTCTGGCTCTTTTCTAGAATGCACAGAACTTTTATATGGCAAGATGTGGAATGGGCCATTGAAGGAAAACTGTCCCATTCATAATATTGCATATAAAAAGGTACCTGGTGTTATAATGGGCCTGCCATACAGAAGATGCTTAACAAGTCTTCCTTGGAGCTGAAACTGAACCATGTCTTTCTTGTGACCTAATTCCCTGTTTGCTCTCCCTTACTATCCAAGGCCTCGCTTCTCAAAGTGTGGTCCATGCACCAGCAGCATTGACATTACGTGGGAGGTTGTCAGAAATGCAGAGTACCAGGTCCTACCCCAGACCCGCTGAATCAGATCTGCATTTTAGCAAGATTCCAGGTGATTTGCATGCACAGTGGCTTTGAGAAGCCTTAATCTAGGGGCTTCTTTGCAGTCAGTGATTATGATTTGCAAATTGCCTGTATTTCAGAAATCTCAACTGAAATCATATATTTATCCTGGGCTAGTTTGACATCAAGTTTATCTGCTTTCAGCCAGAATTCTATTAACTCAGTTTAACTGGTTATCTAAGATGCTCGTATTTGACAATTATGTATATCTTTGATCTTTTTTATTAAGTGGCAAGGGTGGGGAGGCCCTGGGAAATGAAGTAATTATTACTTAATAACTGCTGTTTGCTTGGAAGAGCAAATTTTTTCAAAGAATGAAAGGCATCAGAAGGAAGCAACCCAAACAACAACACAAAGGGTTCCTGATGACGAAAGGGCTGAGGACCCCAGCTATGGATCAGATTGCCCCAAGAAAAACCAGCCATAAAATAAATACAAGACAAAATAACAATCACATCCAGGTCATTTCACTTATGAAACAGAAAGGGAAAACAGGAAACGAATTCTCAAATACAAATATTTCTGTTGATCCACATGCTTTCATGGGGCCAGCATTGTGAAGGCAACCTTCCTAATAACTAATTGAATTTCTCACCTTTTGTTCAAATGCCTTGCCCCCTTGGTTTTTAAATAACATCTAAGGGCAAAGAGGATCCAGGACTTTGCAGAATGACTTTTCAGGATGCAATGACATACAGAAACACCCATGCTCCTAGGTCCCCTCTGCTAATGGTGAAATTATATCAAGGATGACCTTTTGAAGAAATAAAACCCATTATCACATGGAATGTGGAAGCTATAAAAGATCAACACTTGGAAACCAAAGCAAAATCCCACATATGATAAATTAATTAGAATAGAAGTTACACAAAACCTAGACCTTCTGTGTGACCGCTATTTTATAATTACCTCTTCTTTAAAGGCGGAATGGAATCTTTTATGTATGAAGATGTTACTGTTGACCCTAAATGCATTTGGAATCAAGGAGACATTTTTCATATATTGAAAATAAGATTTGATTGAGTGCTTGCGAGTGGCCTAGTGAAATCTCATTAAGCTACTGTTTATTTTAATTTCTTATAAATGAATATTAGCCACTAATTATGAACATGAAACCAGTCAGAAAATAAGTTTTTTAATGTCTAGAGTTTGCGTTCCAACCCTAATGAGCGCACTGTCTTCTTCATAGTTTTAAATGTTTTACAGCAAATAGGTACTTTGGAGTAACTTTCCATTTCCTCCTCCTCTTCTTCCTTCTTTTTGTTGCTCTATTAACATGGCTGTAAAAATCCATATGAAAATCAGAAAATGCAGTCTACTAAACATATCTATAGGCAGTGTGAAACCTGCTGTCATTATCCACAGTTATAATTAGATTTATAAATCATGCACAAGATTCGTAGTGAAATATAATCTAATACTCTTTCGACTACCACCACCACAAAAAATAAAAACAATAGCAATTTGAAATCATTTTGATAACATTGCCATGTTACAATAAGCTCATACATCTAGATCAGTCAGCACTGTATATTCTGAAACACAAATGGATAGAAAGAAAATGAATTTCTTGATTATCTAGCGGGTGCCGACCACTGAAATGGTATCAAAATTTGACTGCACCAAGGAAGATGGGCAGATTTTGATTCGGATGACAACTTCCATTATTGGGCAGCAGATGTTAGGAGGCTGTGTTGGGAAGAAATCTGATGTTGAATCCAGCAAACATCATAAAAAAGTAGCAATGGAGTAACAATGTCTATTACATGGACCAGCTAGAAGGATATGACATATTTACAACAAAATTCCCATCTTGGAATTATACCTTCTTATGCCTAAAACGAGTCAGTATGTTGTGGTAGCACTCTCACATGGCAGACCACGAGAGAGCTAATGTGAGAAGACAGGTGACACAAATCCATCCCCCAAGAGCCTTCTCTAATTTGTACAGCAACAAAACATCTCAGACTTTCCAGAGATTTCTGATTTCAAATGTTAATAATATGAATAATTATGTAGTGCTTCCTTACCATGTGCTAAGCACGTTAATGTGTTTGTTCTTCACTACCCTTATCATGGATGCAGCTAACTTCAGCCCAGGAAAAGAAAATGTCTTAGTAAAAGCTACATACATAGTAAATGCTGGCATGACGACTCATGTCCAAGTTTACTTGATTTCAAAGTCCAAACTTAATACAAGAACATAATGGCCTCTTGCTATATCATGTTGATCCCATGGACTCACTGAGTTGTCAAATTCTTAGTTTGGAAAACATACTCTGAATGTGTCCCTCTGGTCTTCCATTAACCACCCAAAGGACTTGTGTTGCTTTTGCAATTAGTGGAGATGGAAATTTGCTCCATTTCTGTTCTTCTCTGTGTAAAGGAAAGTGTCTAATGCCAACTGGACCATTTGGATGGAATCTATCTTCAGTCTACTCCAGTCCCATAGAATTCTCAGGGGACACCTGCACCGGAACCAAGGCTTGAAGGAAGACCTAACTCTAAGAAAGCCTATAGCTCAGGGTCTACATATGGGAGAAAAGAGGTTATGACCATGGTGAGGGTCTTTTCACAGTTGATACCATTACAATGTGAAAAGATCTTATAGGATAGCCTTGAACAGAAGATAGGCTACAACTGCTTTGCATTTCCTATATTAATAACCCTCTTCATCAAAGGATTACTTCTTGATGCACTGAATACAATTCTTGCTACTGGGCCCTCGAAGGTCTTGTTTCCCCGCACCTGGCAGGCTGCTTGTATCTTTCAAATGAATTTAAAGGTCAGTGGCTCATGCATGAAAAACAGGGGCCTGCACGAGATGGCTGAGCTACAGACAACCTTTTGTCATTTGTGCTGAAGGAGAAGTGAGAGAGATTCAAAACCACATGGAGGCCCCAATCTCTTATGCATACCTTTGTTTATTCATCTGAAAAGCACCTTCTCAAGGCCAGTCATGGTATCAGGGCTATCTGACATGACCATGCAGCCATAAGAAAGACTCCTCTAAAAAAAGAGAAAAGGAGAAAACACAAAGGCACCTTACATTGCTGAAGCCTGTTAGTTAAGAATATGAACTTTGGGGTCCCACAAATCTTGGTTCAAGTCCCACCTTGCCTCTCTGCAGCTGACTAACTTTGGGTCTGAGCCTAAGTTCTCTCACGGTTGTCACTTACCTGATATATGTCAGCTCACACAGTCGGCTCCACAGAAGTGGACTGCTGGGTCCATGGGACTGTATGTTGGATGTTTTGAGACACATTATCGTCTAGAACAGTGGTCTGTAAACTGTAATCTATGGGTCAAATCCATCCTGGCACCTGTTTGTATACAGCCACACGCTAAGAATGGTTTTTACATTTTTAAGTAGTTACATTTTAAATGCTTATATAAATACCTACATAATATCTTCAATTTTGCCTCTCGATTTATAAAACCTAAAGTATTTACTACTTGGAGTTTTAAGAAAAAGTTAGCAGACTCCTGTTCTGGAGCAGTGTTATGTAATAGAAATCTAATTTGAAGCACAGATACAATTTTAAATTTTCTGGTAGCCATGTAAACAGAAGTAAAAAGAAACAGGTGACATTATTGTAATATATTTTCTTTAACCTGATATATCTAAAGTAGTATCATTTCAACATGTAAGCAGTATAAAAATTAAAATGAAACATTTTACATTTTTTTCATACTAAGTCTTGAAATCCAGTATGCATTTTGTATTTACAGCACATTTTATAGGCACATGTGGCTTCCAGAGTTTGAACCAATTTATGCTGCATCTAATGTTCACAGAGAAAGCACTGTGAAAATTTTGGTCCCTTCTCTCTTTTCAAGATCACACAGCACCTGGATTTAAAATCCTTGTCTGTCCCATCTTTTGATGCAGGAGCTGCATTCTAAGCGGCAAATAAAGACCCCACCCAGTAAATTTCCTGGGGAAAGTGAATCCAGTTGCTATATTCCTTGATCAGATAAAATGATCCTTACCTCTAGGAGGTAAGCATTACTCTTGTTCTGTCACTTCCTAATCCACTGCTGTTTCGTTGACTCACAGGGGTGGTAGCTATGTATAACCCTAGGATGCTAGATTGTGAGGAATCCCTCTGCCATGACAGAACTGAGCAGTGGCCTCATCACTCCTGATCTTCAGAGGAAACTTTTCCCAGGCTCTGAAGGTTTCAGCTCACACAGAGGAGGCCAGAACTGCCTTGCTGTGATGATCAGTCTAGATACATGCTTGCCTCCAGCAAACCGAGGACATTTAATTCTTGGCCAGGGTTTGATCAACTTGATCAGTCTGTGACAATAAAATGAATATACATCTTGGTCACACCAGGAAATCTGCCCTGCATACACCCCGGGAGATCATGCTCCAAGCCCTAGATTCTCTGTGTACAGCAAAACCTCATTTGCTCGGGTCCCGCGCATCAGAATTTGCCATGATTCATTCATAGCATGTGTGAGGTGTCTTTAGTAAAATGTTTGAAATGTTTCCTTTCTTTGTGGCATTCCAGGGCTTTGAGTTCAAATATAAGCCTTGTATGTAGAAGATGCTTCATTCATATTTATTGAATGAGTGAGTGACTGAATGGCAAATTGTCCCTACTGCAGTTCCCAAACTTAAGGGACCCTGAAATTACAGGGAGGGCTTGTGAAAACACAGATTATAGAATCCCACCTCCAGATTTTCTGACTCAGTGGGTGTGAGGTGGAGCCTGAGAATTCACATTTCTAACAAGCTCCCAAGTCACATGGAAGCTGCTGGTCTGACTGATATCTATCCTCATACCTCATCACTCAACTCCGGTTGAAATTTCCTGTTTGCAAACCTCCCCAGATATCTTATCCAGGTCGAGGTTTCTCCAACTTAAATCTTTTATGTATATTGAACCACATTCTCTGTAGTTACTGACTTTTATTTAAATCAATTTACTACTTGGCACAAATATATTTAGAAAGGAAATTTTCTATCATTACCCTAAAAAATCAATATTGCTTACTATAAATAGGAGGTAAGCATTAAAATAGACAATTATTAAAATAAAAAAATGTTCATCTGAGTATATTGCCTAAAATCATTCTACATACCATGGTGGTATATATAACTCACTTTGAGAAAAAATGATGAAGGACGTCAGGCCTAAAGGGATCTTTTTCTTCAAAAGAACACAATTATGTTCTAGAGTAATGCAAATGATAGCATCTTGGCATTTTCTGTTGCTGCCTTTGAACAGCAGACATCATGTTCCATTCTGAGGCCACTAATGCTGAGTGTCTGCATTCTGTAACACCTCGGACGTGGCTTAGTAAGGAGCCTATCCAACTCACATCTTTGTGACAAGACGAGCTGAATTCAACTCAATCAATAAAGTCATTCTAATTTGCATTTTCATAACCCACCCTTCCCTTCTCCAAGTGTGATTTTCATTTTTAGAACAGCAGTTCAGTCAATGGATATGCATTCCCTTTAAAGGGACATTTATCACCCTCGAAAAATCTTATTGCCAAATCTGAATAGTCTTTCTTAACAACAGAGACTCAAATTCACTGTCAAGATTAAGAGGTGGAGCTCGAATGCGCTTTGTGGGAGCATCTCATGATAAAATAGATTACAGTCTTAAAATGGACGAGCCTTTGTGGTGGAAGTCAAACATATATACAAAATGTCCACGTTTCCTGTAGACCTTTGTGCACTGTGAATGAGCACAGAGGACCAATCCTGGAACTGGAAGTGAGGCCACTTGGATTCTCCGTCAGGCAGGTTCAGCTGAGTGACTTGAATGAGGTACAGAAACTCACTGACTCTTAATTACTTCATCTTTAAAATGTTTGTGATAGTGATGACTGGGAGGGTTGCCAAACTCAGAAACTTATGGTGAGAAGTAAATGGTAAAGTCCATGTAAATTGCCTCCCCTGGGTTCTGGCACAGAGAAAACAAATGAAATACAGATCTGTTGTTCGTATCAGGGACCACCTCCAGGCTCAATGATTTGCTAGGAGGACCTACAGGACTCAGGATATAGTCATATTCATGGCTGAGTTTATTACAGGGAAAGGATACAGAGCAAGATAAGCAAAGGAAGAAGGTGGCTGGGGTGAAATCTGGGGAAACCAGGCATAGATCTTACCAGTGGAGTTGCACAGGATGTGAGTAATTCCTCCAGCTATGAGTTGTGATACATGTGAAATGTTGCCAAGCAGGGAAGCTCACTAGAGACTGCGAGCCACTAGTCTCAGTGGTAGCTGAGTCACATAGGCACCTTCTGTCTGGTACGCAGCAAAATTCCAGGCTCCTAGAAGGAAGCAGCTGCTCAGCACAAACCACACTGTTTGTACAAACAGTTTAGGCATAATGAGATACCCTTATCAGTTTAAGTGGTGGGAAACCTCCTGAAATCCACTGTCCAGATGCCAACTTAGAGCCAACCTTGCAAGCATACCTTTCCAAGGCTACAGTTCCAGACTTGCTCTTTTAATGCTTTTTGTACAGTGTCATTGGCCATAAGGCCTCTCCTCAGTCTCGAGTCTCATCAACCATGCTGCCTTCTAGCTGTCCTAGCCTCCCTCCCATCACCAAGCATCTCCCTGCAACAAAGCCGTGCCTTTGTTCTTGTTACTACCTCTGCCTCAAATGCTCCTCCCTGACCTTGGCGTGACCAAGTCCTCATCATTGTCATTAAAGACGCTTGCCTAACCTCCATCTAACGTCTTTCTTCCTATTCCACCATTCAGTTTTAATTTCTCTATAGAATTTATCACTCTGAAATTATCCTCTACTTATTTTTTACTTGATCATCTCCTCCACTGGATTTAAGCCTCATGAGGCCAGAAAACATATCTGTTCTGCTTAATATGTTATCTCCAGTGTCTAGTACAGGATTGGAGGTAGTAAGTGCCCACTTAATATTTGTCCCATGGATATTGGAAATTATTAGGAAACATTTAATTTTTCTCTAGCCCAAAGAACAAACAAAACCCCTAAGCCCTTCCTATTTATGAATTTAAAGTATTTCCTTTGGGTGTTGAAAAAAGTTTCTAAAAAATATTGAACTTGCAGAAAATTTACCCATGAAGAGGCTGAATGCCTCTGAGCTTTTCAAATCTCCCATCCTTCTACAATCGCACTTTCTCTGCAGGAGCCTAATTCATGGAAGGCTGCTTACAAAGCTCGAGATTTTGTTCACAGTCAAAGTAATTGTGGGGTGCCTCTCTTTTCAGCATTCTGGTCTAGATTCTCCTAGTAGTTCTCCAGTTTTGTGATTTATGTCACAGATAAGCAGTGTGTTGAGCAGCTTCCTTGGCCTCTCCAGGTCCACTCTTTACACTTCCCTACCTTGCCTTCTGTCCTATATGGAGTTCCCCAGCCCTCTGCCTTTCAGTGGGCTTAGTCCAGGTGTCTACAAACTTTTTCTTAAAGGGTCAAATAACACATATTTTAGATTTTGCAGGCCATATGATCTCATTCACAACCACTCAACTCAGCCATTGCAGCATGAAAACAGACATAGACAATAAATAAATCAATGATCATGGCTGTGTTCCAATAAAACTTTATTTACAAAAACAGGCAGCGATCTGGATTTGGCCTATGGGCAATGATTTAGCCAATGGGGGACTAGGATAAGAGAAAGGGAGGAGAGTATGTTTCTGTAGGATGCTGTGTTCCTCCATTAGGGATCAAGGCTCCTCTCAGGGAGCCCCCTCCATGCAGCTCTCTTCATCAGGTCTCCTCTCCTGGACCTTCAGTTCTTAGATGAGATAAAGGTGTCCCACAGTTACTGAATGTTTCCCTGTGTCCCTTCTCCCCAACCCTGCCCATACTTTTACTAGTTCCTGTTTCTTCTCAGATGGCTCGGTCTTAATGTGCCATCAATTCTCTTTTGGGGTTAGGGTACCTGAGGCTGAGGAGTTTCCTAGGATATGCAAGTTTAGGAGCTAAAAAGCCCTGACAGTTCCAAGAAAACCAGGGCAGTTGGTCACTCTAACTGGGACCCAGATATTACCCCCCAACCCCCGCTTAACCCCTTTCCCACTGTCTTAGTTGTAGTTGCCAGAACTTCCCACTTGGATGCTGGCCTTGCTGGCCACCTAATAGATAGATGGCCTCATCAGGTATCATAACGTATACCTGTCTGCTCTAGCTTACTCATCCTTAGAACAAAGTAGCTGATGTCTGAGTATCTAAAGAGACTTTAGTGTAGTCTCCCAGATAAGTGTTGAAGCCCTTTACATGATCATATTTTGCACTGTATAATTTTTGATGATTGCTTTTCCTCCAAATAATACTATGGGTGAGATATACTATTTTTCCCTAAGAAGAGTCAGACTTACTTTGAAAGAGCAGTAGGATTAACAGAAACTTTGATGATTGCATTAATCCAGCTTGAATTGAAAATATCCCAAGGACTGACTCATGAAATTTCAGGTAATTGAGCTTGCGGACTGAAGTAGACATGAGAAAAAATATATATAATGTTCTTTTCAAACTATTTCGGCTCAGTTGTTTTCTTCTCAGCTTAAACCCTGCTTCATAGAGGGAAGAGACTAGTTATCCACACCTAAATTTAATGCAGTAATGATAATAGAGGGGTGTTGTGACTTAATATATTTTTATTTCAATATATATTTTTTGTTTGTCTTCAGTGAGAAACAGGTTGTAGAGGCTTCTTGCCTATTGTAGGGATTAGGGAGGAGGGTGATCCTTTGACACTGCCATGAAGTTGATGGAAAGGATGTCCTCAGTGTTTGGAGACCAGCAATAAGCCACTTTTATTACCTTAAAATGTCTGTGCCTTTGAACAAGCAGGCCAACTAGAAGGCTCTGATGCTCTGAAAAAATATGAACTTGAGTAATGGAGCAGGCTGACTCAGCTCCTCAGAATCTAGAAGATAGTAAATAGGGAAGCAGTTTCAAGAGCCAAATACTGGAGAATTTTTGTGGTGGTGGTTATTTCACTGCAACAGAGACAACTTCTCTGCAACCCATTCAAGGGAAGCTTTCTCTAGGAATATTAGATAAAGAATGGAAACTCAGGTGCTTGGGGTAGCCAAGAAGGTAATGTAAAAGAATGAAGAGGTCTGGGTGTAAGAAAAGTCTGTATAAAGATGATTACAAACTAAAAACCACTTTCAAGTTTAATTTAGGAAATCAACACAACTGTGCTAATAAAAGGCAAATGGTACTCATTGTTGGGGAGTACCATTTGAGAGGGGAGTACCAATAGAGAGGGGCATAGACTGTGGTTATCCGGGGATGAAGCTCTGCCCATTGGGAGCATATTCTTATCATCTGTGGAGTATTTCCCTGTTTGACTCCAGTGCCAATGCTAT